TTTTTGGTCGGAATCACCTAAAACTTTCTACACAGCATAAGTACATCAATATGTTTTAGAAAATGTAATAATAAATTTTGGTGATTTTTGAGCCATTTTTTGGTAAAAGCCATAGGCTATAGTACAGGGTAATTTTCAGAATTTTGGCGTTTTCTTAAAATGGTCATAACTTTAAAAATTGAAGTCAGAATCACCTCAGACTTTCTACACAGCATAAGTACATCAATATGTATCAGAAAATGTAATAAAAATTTGGGGTGATTTTTTAGCCATTTTTTGGAAAAAACCATGGGCTATAGTACAGGGTATTTTTTAGAATTTTGGCGTTTTATTAAAATGGTCGTAACTTTAAATGTAATAAAAAATTTTCGTGATTTTTGAGCCATTTTTTTAAAAAAAACATGGGCTATAGTACAGGGTAATTTTCAGAATTTTGGTGCTTTCTTATAATGGCCGTAACTTGAAAAATCAAAGTCGGAATCACCTCAAACTTTCTACACAGCATAAGTACGTCAATATGTATCAGAAAATGTAATAAAAATTTTTGGTGATTTTTGAGCCATTTTTTGGAAAAAACCATGCGCTATAGTACAGGGTATTTTTCACGACTTTGGCAGTTTTCAAAATTGACCATAACTTTAAAAATTGAAGTCAGAATTGCCTTAAACTTTCTAAACAGCATAAATACATCAATATGTATCAGAAAATGTATCAAAAAATTTTTGGTGATTTTTGAGACATTTTTAGAAAAACTATGGGCTATATATAGTCATTACTTTTTCCTAAAAATTTGCAACATGCCACTTCCCAAATACAACTCCTTACATTTAATTCAAATAAATGTATACATGTAGAGATCTATGTTGCAAAGTTTAACATACATTAATACACAGTAAAAAGTTGTGGACTATGAAAAATATAATTATTTAACAATTACCTTTATCAGTCGGTTGTCCTGAGAGCAGTGTTGATAGTGGTGATTGTATGATTGGTCTAGAGCCCCAGATATGAAACGTGTTACACTCAGTGGCAACTACAGTAGCTAGTTCACTACAAGTAACCATCTAACAATAAAAACAATAATAACAATAATAATGTGAAATTCAGTAATGCAAAGCATAACAATATACATGTACATGTACATGCAAAAGAAAAGGAGGGAGGGAATTATAGTTTTGCTTAATGTACACAGACAATACTGGACATCAATGTAGCATTTAATTTTAACATAACACATACGTTTTTTATTTAATGGCATTCAAGTACTTAGTATACAATAATATAAAATAATATCTTACTATTGGTTTATTCTTCAATCCTTTAACAACCACTGCCATTTCTCTAGGGAGTGCATTCCCTGATCCTAACTGACCGTGATTATTACGTCCAAAAGTATACACGAGGCCAGTCTCAGTGAGGAATGCTGAATGAGTTGATCCCAATGAGCAATCAATGATCCTGTGCTTCCCTAAGTCTTTAATAGGCAGCGGATTGATGGAATAGGGGACTTGCAAATGATGCTGTATGATAATAATAATGGTAAATAATAAATAGCAATAATGGTATTAATAGTAGTAATGATTGATAATACGTACTTTGTTTAATAATTTCTTCATTTGCATGATGAAAGTTTCTCTTTTATTTATTCCAATTTTATTATCGGCATTACTAATAACAATATTA